GAAAGTTTCTAATTCTTTTCTTTGTTGTTTGTTTGGTCCTAAATATTCTTTCCAATACTTGAGTATTGATATCAACTGGTTAGTTAATTCAGGGTATGAATTAGGTTTGTTTTATTCAAATTTGTACTGTAATACTTCTTCAAGTTCTTCAATCTGTAATTCAAATTGTGTTTTCTTTTGCCAACTATATATTTCATATATACTCATATGTATGCTATGGTTTCTTGTTAATTATTAACTTTTGTACTTCTTTAATTTCAAAGAGATCTTGACTGTTTTTTACTTCTTTAATTTGGTTAACAATTCCAAGATATATGGTATTTAGGTTAATATCTAAGTATAGTTCTTCTGCTAATTCTGTGATTTTTTCAATTAACGTTTCTTTTTTGTTTTCAGTTATTGAGATAGTTTCCCTTTGTTTTTTCCTTGAGGTAACAAGTTTTTGTTTTAAGAATACTTGTAAGATTTGTTGATCGTTGTATTCTTTTCTTGTGAGAAGATTTTGTATGTCGATTATTATTCCTTGTATCCATAGTTTAGTATTTTGTACTTCTTGATTTTCTTGATGAGCCATATGATAGTGAGGTTTTTGGTGACTTATTTTCAGGGTTCTTTTATACTTTTAGGGTTACTAATCGTTATCCTTATTTTTGTTTGTATCTGTTTATCATCAGGTGCGTGTCAGATTTCCATATCTGTTTTAATATACGTTTCAGGCTTATCTTTGTTTACAATTTCCTTATCTTCAATCAATAATTCATTTCGTAAATATTGTAACATGTTTTTCCATAAGTCATCATTGTTTTGGCGTTTCAAATGAATTCTAGCAGATATGATTGTATCTTATCTTTAGTTCTATTTCTGGCAGGTATTCTGATCTTTATTCTGTTCTACATTCCTTCAACAGTATTTGTGTGAACTCCAGTATTTGGATCTACAAAGTATTCGGAATGATTTACTGTCATATGCTCAAAGTTAAGCTTATTGTAAATATTTTTTTATGATTTAAAGCGGTCTGAATAAATAATTGATCCTTGTTCAATGTTATCTTTAATTAGTCCTAATAAGGTATCTTCAGTTTTATCTGGTATTATTGTTGCAAATATTTTTCTATCAGGTGTCCTTTCTACTCCTGCGAATACCCATGCACCGATAACAGGTTTTTCGCAGTGATATTTGTTTTTTCCCATTTTGGTTTCATCTATCTTTACAATAATATCCTTTCCTCCTATCTTTTGTTTATGTTCTTGTATGTGGGATCCTATTAGATTTCTGATATTACTTAAATGGTAACCGATTGTACTTGGATCTTTTCCTATGGTTATTGCAATAGATGTGCTTGGCATCTTTAATAACCAATAATAATATATTTCTAATATCTCATTGACCTGTATCTTATCTTTTTCAAACCATGAGTTTGTAAATATTGATTGTGACTTTCTACATTTTCGGTTGCCACAAATAAACATTTTGGCGTTATCTTGTTTCATTTGTTTTTCACACTTTGGAAATTTTAATTCTCGATTAATGATTCTGTTTGCTTGCAAGTACAGGATACATTCGGATTCATTTTCCAAGATTTTCTTGATTTCGTATCTTGTCAAGATTCCTTTATTTTTCATTTCTTGTTTCTTTCTGATTTATTTTCGGAATTCTTTTCTATAAATCCGGTGATTTTTCAAGCATTTCTTTTAATGTTCATTTTGATCATCTTTATATATTTGTTTTCTTTAATATATCTTTATTCAGCAATTATCCTATTTATCCAATTACTCCTTTTCTTTATTTTCCTTTTCAAGTATTATGGCTTTTACTTTGACTAGTTTTGATATCTCTTCTCCTCTTAATTTTGAGGATTATCACCATTTTCGTATTGAACTTAATGGTTGCATAGTTTATATTTCTTATCCTTTTGCTAAGTATCTTCATGATACTACTTTTGTTGGAGAGAAGAATGGTATGAATACTCATTAGCATATTAAATTTTTTATAGAGAGTATTATTACTCAGAACTTTGACTTTGGCGAGGGTGAAGATGTTTCTATGTTTGATTGGCGTATCTACTGGAATACTTCTTTTAAGGATCGCTCTTTTCAAGATGTTGTTGATCATTATTGTCATTTTAGTGAATCTATTTCTTTAAGGTCTCTTATCAATGATCATCTTATTGAGTTTGAAGTTAGTGGTTGTAATGAGGATGAAGATCCTGAGTTTCTTGTAACTAAGCCTCCTTTTGGTAAAGTTACTAAGTCTAATGATGGTCAAGATATTTATATCATTTCTGATTCCTCTTTGGATCTTTCATTACTTGAGGTATGGATTTTTGATCCTGTTTTTACCAAAGATGATGGTAAGGGTTTTAGTATTGGTTTATCATCCAACCAGAGTAAGTTAGATAGATCTTCTAACTTGCTGTGGTTGTATGTTGGACAAATTTTAATCTCTTATCTTTTATAGATCTTATTACTGAATGTGAAGAAGTTTTTTATGCGTGTTGGAATGGTTCTAATCTTTTTCAATTCTTTTATTTTAAAGATTATATCAATAATAATGCAGAGTTGCTTTTTAACAATATTGACTCTTCTACTGTTGGTAGTTCTCGTATTAACAATTCTGAAAGTAATAATATGCATCTTGATGGTACTTATATTTCTCCTTTAACTAGGAAATATTTATCTTATTATAAATGTTCTTTCTGTAATCATTATGTTTGTAATTGTTTAGGTTATTCTCATGATCAAGATGATTCTGATTTTTATTTTTATTCCAATTAATTTTCTTCTTCAATTGTAATGTTTATCAAATCTTTTAAAGATTTATTTTCTTTATTATTCGCTATTCTTGATAATAAATCTGCTGCTTTATTTTTGGCTCCTGGTATTCTATATATAATATAATTGAATTCTTGTAAATTTATTATCCAATTTTCAATTGTTCTGCTTGTAACAGTTGTTTTCTTTGTTGCAGATATTCCAGTTGTATCAGTGTAAATGTGTATCTCTTGATTGCCAATGTAATGTCGTCATTGTTTTAAAAATATGTATATTGCATACATTTCTCTTTGTGTTGCAAGCCAATTCTGTTGTGCTTGACTTAGGCCTCTTGATTCTAATTCTATGATATGTCTATTTGAAGCTGGTGGATTATCATAATCTTTTTTGAGTTCTTCTTTTAGAAGTCCTTCTTTAAGTTGTTTTTCAGTTTGTTTATAATGTTCTCGTTCTTCATTTTCTTGGTATAATATTGCACCTATGCCTATTTGTGAGGTATCACATTCCATAAAGAAAGGTTTGTTTGGATCTGGATATGAAAGATATATATTTCGGTTAACTTCTTTTTTAAGATTATCGAATGCTGTTTGATATTCATTTGTCCATTTAAATGTGGTATTCACGGTTAATTCATATAATGGTGCTGCTATATCGGCAAAGTTTAATATGTATGGTCGGAAGTAGTTCATGAATCCCATAAAGGCTTGTACTTCAGTTTTATTGGATGGTATGGTTTTGCTATTGATTAATGCTTCTTTGTTAGCATTTTTCCATATTTCTTTGTATTGAATTTTGCAATTGAGTATAGTAGTTTCATCAACTAAGAATTCACATTTAGATAGCTTAAGTTTCAGCCCTGCTTTTTTGAGGATTGCTAAAGTCCACTTTAGTCTTTTTTTCATTTTCTCTGGTGAATTCGCTACTATAGTCATATCATCCATATATATTTTTAACCAATCAAATTGTTTGAATAATTTATTTAATTCTGCTATTAGATATGCTGGTACAGTTGTTATTCCAAATGGTAACCTTTTCCAAAGGTATATTCCAAATCTTCCAAATCTACTTGCTGTGTATTTTTGTAATTTTGGGTGTACGTTTAATTGCCAATATACTGATTTTAAATCCATTGTTGTATAGTATTTATGTCCTGTAGGAATTGCATTGTATTTGGTAATGGTTGTTTAAATTTTACTAAATGTTTATTTAATCTTCTATAGTCTATTACTATAGCTTTTCTTCCATCTTTTTTGGTTATTATTTGTATATTACTTGCCTATTCGCTATATTCAGGATATATAACATCATTTTTTTCTAAATCCTCACATAATTCTTTAATAATTTTTTCTTCTTCTACAGTATATTTTCTTATTCCTTGATTTTTATCATTATCAGGAATTTCGTGTTCTTTTTTATTTAATATAAATTGAATATCAGGAATTACGTTATTATTTACGGAAGTTCTCATTTCCTGTTTTTCTTTAAATTCATCTACGTATTCTGTTAATACATCTCCAAGTATTTTCTACACTTTATTTTCACATCTTTCTTGTAATATTTTTATTCGTTCTTTTTCAGTTTTTCCTAATTTTTTTGAAGAAAAAAATTTGGGGTCATATCCAATTGTTTTTTTTTCATTCACTTGTTCTATATTTCTAATATATTCACCTTGTTTTATTTGAATATTTTTATCACTAATATTCATTGCTAAAATGTAGTCTCCATTAGGTTGTCTTTGTTGTATAGCTAACCCTTTGGCTGCTAATTGTATAGGGGTCCCTACTATTCCATTTTTTTGAGGGTTCAATATTTTAATACTCATCAATGTTATAGAGGGTATGACTGTTTCTTTTTTACTAAATATTTTTTCTTTTTCAGTTTTAATAATAGTAGGTACTATTTTTCTTTTTTGTCGTATAGTTAGGTTATTTAATAAAATATGATTATATTCCCCATCATCATTTATTCTATATCCTTTTTTGTTTTCTTTAAGTTGATTTTCAACTTCTTGTCCAAATCTTTCATTATGATGTTCTTCTAGATCTGCCTCTACATCAGCAAATTTAATAGGGTATAATATTGCACAATAATTTACAAAGCGTAAGAAAACCGTAATATTACGTAATAACTTTCGCAATATTGCGAAATATATAATTACGAAATATTACGTAAG